ACAGCACTGCCCTGACGATTGCAAAACATTGTACACGCCAGTCTACCAATGTTACAACCACAGCCCTTGGACTTGGTTGCAGTGCAGGGACTCTCCGAAAAACAAGAACACTTGATGAGCTTGAGTATGTAATCTGGTGCTGGGAGAGTCGTAACAGGGAGAGTGACAGGCTGTAGGGACTTAGTTTCCTCATCCTTTACCCAGCCATATTCCGTGGGATCAAGGTCTGGATGCTTTTGTAGGGCATGTCTCCAGATGCAGCACTGATAGTGTGCTCTTTTGACATTTTCTTTGAATGCTTCATTGGTGGGTGGCAGCTTCGGTGTACCTGTTGCTCCTTTTCTACTTGTCTTTGTTTTTTTAAGCTTTAATTCTTGACTCAGTCATGGATGTTGCATCATGCATGTTGTAGCATGCTGAGACAAAAGCTGTGGACTGGAGCAACACATCATCAAAGTCAGCAGTCTGATTCCCAAGAAGGCTCAAGCTGCATTTCCCTCCTCGAAGAGTTTTCAACATCTTGCCCTTTCCGATCCCGTGGCACATGGGAACAGTGTCGCAACCTGTCAGGGCATGAGCTGGTAATATGTCGGGAATGATACTGGAAAGCTTTATCACTGTAGGACTAATATCCACAACAGCTCTGCCTTTCCTTGGTGACTGCATTATCATAGGGATGTTAAGCCCTCTATCGAGGTAATGGTACAGCAACAGAACGTACACATCTGTGTCATCTGCTTCAACAATGACTTTCTTCTTCTCTTCTTGTGTTGCATATATATCGCCTGTGGTGTGACGATTGTGTCTGCTTCTTCATAGTCTGGCTTGAGGTCTGTTCTCTGAATTACTAAGCCGTATGGAGAAATCTCTACAGGCACTTCATCTTGGCCAGTAATGACTACGTGTGGGGATGGCCTCCCAGTACATCCATGTCACCTTTAAAGTCATCACAAATAATTTGGATCAGTTGCTACTTATTCTGAGAGTTGTTTAAAATCTGGTTCTGTGGAGGGAGCGGTGATGATGTCTATAATTGGAACACCCTACAACCACCTGGACCCCGTGCCTTGCGGGATGAACACTTGGTGCTGTATTGAATATACCTGTCAAAGACAAGATATATACATCCCCCATCCTTAGGCGCTGTTGTACGATTCCTTTGAAACCCTCTACATAGTGGGCTACTGCACCTCGGACAGTCCTGCTTCTCCCACGGACAGCTGTACGTAGGGAGCTCAACAATTGGAGACGCCAGGAATCTCTACACATTTGCACCAGAGAATAAGACGAAAAACATTGTTTATCAAGAGGCTTTCAAATGAAAAGTCCAACCCATTCGTACATGCTGTTATAATAACTTTTTGTCATTTACACCATATTACTATTATGTTCCAGGGGTTCTAAGTTGGGTTGTGCTGTGATATAAATGTCATACGTAACAGTTTTTTACCATGCTTATTATCTTATTAGACTGATTTGTAAATATTGATATTGTGTGCAATGTTATTCTCCATTTTTACCCAATGTTTCTATTGCGTCCGATTATTAGTAGTATGAATTAGTAGCACGATTTTGCAGCGCAGCGGGTACCCGCAGCTAGTATTAAATAAAGGGTGTGTAGAGTAAATTCCCCACCACTGCCAGAGTGACAGTTGGTGGATCATTGAAGTAGACTATGAAGGCAAACTTTTAGAGCAATAAAAAAAACTATATACCCAATTGCAAGGTTCAAGTAAAAAAGCCATCTTTTCTGCCGGACTAATAGACAATCCGTCGCACAGCCTGTTCGGGCTAGAGTGGCGGGTGCATTTTAGGATGGCGGGGCTCGACGATAGCCTGGCAGGCCATAAGTGCTCTTGGAGAACCCTGAGTATTACTATAGCCATATTATAAATAATATTATTTTGTGAGTTATTATCTGAAGTATGATCTGTCATTACCCTTACATGCATATAGATATCGGGCACTTCTTTGTTCAAAAGATTATTGACAATGACATACAGACAACGCTCGGCAGCAGCAGCATACAGCATGTGGAACTAACCGGAAACGACGCACCTGCGGTTGTATTCGAGGAGTTTCAGCTACTGTCGCCGGAACAAGTTAAAAATTATATAAACAATTCATCAAAAAAGACCTGCGCGTTGGATCCAATGACAACCCCATTAATTATCAATTGCATTGACGAGCTATTACCTGCTCTAACTAATATGGTCAACTGTTCTTTAGATACAGCTACATTTTCTGAGGACTGGAAAGAAGCACTCGTGATACCCTTGTTGAAAAAACCGGGCCTTGACCTTGTTTTTAAAAATTACCGCCCA